GATGGATGGATGGATGGATGGATGGATGGATGGATGGATGGATGGATTTCTGTGGAACTTAATAAAGAGAGAAATTGCCATAAAGATGCTTGGTGTGTGCCAAATGGATGAATTCCATTTTAATCTTAAAGAATATATGTTTTCTTAAAGGTGGTCTAACACATTATTAAGCAATGTAGGGCTGGTGAATATGACCTTTCAAAGGCTAACTGTCATATTTCACATAAACCAAAAAAATATATATATATTCAGGCAAACCAATATGGATTTGTCTGTCTTTAATAAAACAGGCCAGACATAACCTGCATGTGCGTGTACATGCTGTGGATATTAAACATTTTCATTTACAGCCACGGAAAACAAAGCAACTCAAACTCAAACCAGCGAGTAACACCGCGGCAGCTGTTTGTCTGATAACCCCAAGTGTCTTTGAGAAAGGTTTGTAGAGGTAGAAGGACTCCATGAGAAAATGACAAGTTAAGGTCCCTCATTTCTCCAATGGTCCATATGTTTTTTCAAGTATACAGTGTAAATTCCACAATTTCAATTGAATTCAAAAGCCATCTCTCTTTTGAAAAGCTCTTTCCTGGATCCAATTTTGTTTTGGATCCAGGAAAGATGCAGTCATATGACACTAGAAACATAGGTAAAATGGGTTTTTTTACCGTTTACTGAGTAGTATCAAACATCCCCAAACATGGTCACAATAATCTAATCTAATCTTATGTTAAGGAACTTTAATCAGCTTTTTCAATTGCATATGTTAATAAAATTTGACATTTAGTTTAGCATTAGCTGTCACTACAACGATAAGCTATAAGCTACTGCTATGTACATATATGGTCTTGTTGGTTTGGGCCAGGGCCAACATCTCTCCTTTAAATATGCAAGCCAAAAAATGAGCATTAGAGTCCATCACATGGGCTCACATGTTTTGCTGGAAAAATGAGGGGTAAATTGCAGCAATATACCATCACCAAAAATGGAAAAACGCATTCACCTTTAAAAGCAATATTTAAACAAGCTTTTAAATCAAAATTTGGTGTGATCACCTTTATTATTTTACACTGTTAGAAGTCCCTTAGACAATCTTTCTTGTAATTTCTTGAATAAGTTTTCAGGAATTACTCAGGGCATCTTGAAGGACATTCAAAAGTTCTTCCTTGGATGTTTGCTGCATTTTCTTCTGTTCATGTCAAAGTGACCCCACACTACTTGAATTATGGTGAGGTCTGGCCTCTGAGGAATATTCAGCTGACTTTTAGTCCAGTTATTGCATAATCTGACATCCTGTACCATAGACTTTTCCCCTTGTATCTGTTTCTTTGCTATTTAATGTCATGCTCTATGTTTAGGCAGAACATAATTTTCAGAAACAATAATTTATCTTGTTAAAAATTTGAAGAGGCCAGGATGCCCTTTTTTACCACTTGGTTAATGTATACAAAGTATAAGTTTTATACCTCTTTTACCATAACAAAGTATCGATACTTTTACTTTTGATGTGATATCTCAACCCTTTTTTAAAAACAGGCTCTTATTAAATTTGCTTCAAAGAAAGAACAAAATGCTGGAACATTTATCTTTTTTTTCTTAATAAAATGTCTTTTTGACAGTTCTCCTCCATCAGATAAATTCTGTTTAGGCTTCAGTTAACAGATCTCTCAGTTCCTTTGACAGGTTATTGAGGGAATCTTTTGTGTTTCTCAAGGAAACCACTGTCGGATACAGTTCAATCATGTAGCTCTAACATTTCTTCTGTTTCCCTCACTATTACAGATTCCTCTTTGTTTGCTCCTTTTTAAACAAAAAAAACTATAAAACATGCTGACATATGCCATGTTATCTTCTAAAGCATGAGGATTGTAAGGATTGTTTTCTATAAACAGCCAATAGCATTGTGGTCTTAATTGGTCCTAATATTTCACTCCCAACCAAAGAAACTTGACTTCAAGAAAAATAACCTAGTTTACTTTCTAACTCCACTATATGCTATAGTTCTAAGCTTTTTCAGCAATGGTTTTCAAACCTGTCATGATAGGTTGAAATAAAAGTTAGGGCCCACCCTTAAAAGTTTTTCTTATTGAAGGTTTTAATGCTGACTAAAAATGTGTGACTACTTATGTAATTTCAGAAACTTGGGGTAGAGTCCAAATAAATGTCTTATAGTGTTTGAGGTTTACTTATGTCCCTACCAATGATTTCAGTGATATCCCACAGAGATGTTGGTTCTTCTTTGTAATATTCACTCGGTGTCTCGCTATGGGATGCCCCTCCTGCAGCCCTGGTAGAAGCATTTATCTCAAGCCACCAATCTTGATTGGCCGGTGAAGGTGTTCATCTGAACAACGTCTAGTAATCCCATTTACTAAAGCGTGCACAGATCACACCACCTCAATTCAGAAGCTCTTCTGATCTGAGAGATTATCTCACGTCAGAGCCTAACTGGCTTAACTGTTCACAGATAGACCTTGCTAGCTTCCGTCACCGGATGCTAATGCTGTGCACTGGGTTCTGCCCTGTCCGCTCACTTCAGACCAGACCGGTAACTTTTTTTACTGTCCACTCCATGGTGGAATAACTCTCCTCCACGATTGCTTGAGTCGATCGAGTTACACAAGCTACTTTTCTAGACCCCATAAAGCTAGCACACAAGTTAGCCACGGTCCTTTCCCCCACCAGCACTCCAGCTTGTAGGCAAAATAGCCACAGCTAAAGAACCTCACACCAGAGGGAACTGTCGGTTCTGTGAGCCTCAGACGCAGGCTAGCCCACCAGGTTAGCCTTATGGACCGTAACCCCACCACTGACCAAGGTGAAAAAGGACGAGGACATGCCTGGGGAGGTTCCGGAGACTGGCTACAACTTTGGCGCCCAGTGCAAGAAGCTCCGTGTCCCTCTGTTTCCTGAGACAAATGTGCTGGATATCGGCCTCAAGGAAGATCATGACAGCACCTCGTTCCTCATATCAGAGGATGAGAAAATGGACAACACTTTTGTGGCCCTAGCCCTGGCTGAAAAGCCGAAGCTGCTGAGTTCTGCCACCAAGGAGGACGGGGGAGTGAGCTCTCCTGCTCAGTCCCTCCATGTGGACCTCCTGGACACGTAAGGCAGAGAAGCTGGAGGTTCCCTGGCCGGTTGCAGTAGTGGAACCAGCCAGGTCCCACTACAAAGGGAAATGACTTCCCCTGGTGCGAAGTGAGGTGAAAAAGCTCCATCTTCTCCGAGTTGCTGGTCGAGCCGTCCAAGAATTGGAGTAACTGCCCAGCAACAGCAGCCCCCTTCTGGGTACAGCATCCCTCGATCAATGCCCATGATCTCCTCTCAATGCCTAAGGTGTAAGCCCCAGTAGCTGCGCATCTCTGCCCAGGCAGCACGAGTCAGCTATCTGTGGCCTATTCCAGGCGCCAGACACAGCAAACTAAGACCGAGCGTTTTCATTCTGTACTGACCGAAAGGGCATACAAGGCAGCCACCCTCTTGGTGAGCTCTCAGCGCAATCTCCATCCTCACTGCCTACCAGGCAGAGTTGTTTGGTGCATCCGCTGAGAAGCAGGACCCGGACAACAGTGCAAAGTGATGGCAACCCTTGTCATTCAGGAGCAAGCAAGATGGCTCAGATTGCCTTGCACACTTCCCTTGACAAAAATCTGTCCAGTTCAGACTGTGTCTTCGACTGCTTGGCCTGATGACTTCAGTGATTTGCCTCAACCACCTTCACATGCGGGACTTTAAGCGCTGGGTCACCTCACTCTGGCTGGAGCCCTTGCATCATGGCACATGGTGGATAATTGTCCCAGCGGATTGCGTAAGAACTCTGCGCTGTTGGCGGGCTCCATCTTTCCTGACTCGGGGGTGCCCATGGGCACTGTCTCATCCAGGAAAATGGTCACCACGGATGCTAGTCTACCCGGCTGGGGTGGAAGTTACGAGAGCAGGTCTTTGAGGGGTCTTCACATAAACATTCTTGAACTCCTGGCTGTGTCCCTGTCCCTGGGACACTTCTTCCCATTCCTCTCGGGTCACCAGACTTGGTGGGGACGGACAAAACAACAACAGTGGCGTATATCAAACATCAAGGGGGCTTGGCTCTTGTGTGTTGCAAGATCCTCCGTGCAAACTGATCCTCTGTAGAAGTGCGCACTTTCTCTCCATGACGGTGGAGCACGTCCCAGGGGCCTTGAACACAGGTGCCGACCTGTTGTTCAGGGGCGTGCCAATGTACGGGAATGGATTTCGCACCCGCAGTTCAAGAAACAGATATGGGCGCGCTATAGCTACGCCAACATAGATCTGTTCCCATCAAGCAAAAATGCTCAGTGCGAGCTGTTCTTCTCTCTGCACACTCTGAACGCTCCCCTGGGCATAGATGTGGTTGTGCAGTGCTTGCATTCCCCCTGCTGGCCGTGATGCCCCCTGCTCTCACCAGAGTGATGGCCTTCAATCACAAGCTGATCCTGATAGCTCCACACTGGCCAGCGCTGCACTGGCAGGCAGAGATATTCCAGATGCTGTGCGCCTAGCCTTGGCAGCTGCCGGTGCGCAGGGACTTGCTCTCTCGGGGGGCGGGGGGGACAGTGTTCCATCCACACCCGGAGCGAATGCAACACTGGGCCTGGCCTGTGAGTGGCTCAATTTGACCATTATTGGGCTCCCTCAGAGTGTGGTTAACACTATCCAAATTGCTAGGGCACCAAAACAGCAAGCCAACACCCTTTGGTGTGCCGGTTTATGAAGGGTATGGCTTCTCCCTGTCTCCAGACCTTTTTTGCTCCCCTGGGAGTTGGCGGTGGTTCTGAGGGGCTTAAAGGACTCCTATTTGAGCCATTGCTAATGAAGAATCTTAATCACCTGCCCCTTTAAACAGTGTTGTTACTGGCTACTGCCTCTGAAAAGCAAGTGAACGACATTCAAGCGCTCTCTGTGAGCCCTGTGTGTGCTCACTTCGCCCCAGATAATGTACTTATTTTTCCGAAGCCCAATCCAGTTTTTGTACCTAAATTTGTGGGTTCATGTTCCCCGATTGAACTCACGGTGTTTTCTGCTCCCCATGAGCAGTGTGCACACATGCTGTGTCCAATTCGAACTGTGCGCTCTTGTATGGACAGGATGCAGAGCATCAGATGGAGCAATAAGCTTTTTGTCTCCTGGGCTGAACCTTGTAAGGGACGGCAGGTCACAAAGCAGTGCCTTGCCCACTGGGTGGTAGAGGCTATAGCTTTGGCGTATACGAGCAGTGGTCTGCATCACTAGTAAGTTTAATTAGTGTCTGTTGGTTCTCACCTCTGACTTTTGTGTGGATCTACATTCTTTACATGTCTGAACCTTGCGTGTCCAGTGAGGTCTTAGAGTCCTAACTGAACCTATGGACCCTCCCAACCGGCCAATACTTTTGAAAAGCTGTCTGGCAAAATGGGAGCTACCATATCCCATAGTGAGGGACCGGGTGAATATTATCAAGAACATATTTTTGCTTGAAAAGTGATTTTTTCTGGAATACATTTGTTTTTTCCCCTAATTCTTTTGTTACACCTACAGAATATTAATCTTAGTGCTCCCCACAATCAGTTTGAACTGAATAAGCTTCTTGGATGAGAGGCGAAACCTCTTTTAGAAAACTCCCCGTCCAGTTGCCTAAACTGAACTTTTCAAGCTTGACCATGACCTGGATAACTGAGAATATTCAGAAAAGATGTTTTTGGTTATCTAACATAACCTTAGTTCTTAGAATAATATGAGTGATGTGTCTCGCCAGATGGTTAGTTGTTTATTGAACTGAAGTGGTGTGATCTGCGTACGTTTTAGTAGACGGGACTACTGGGTGTGGCGTTGATGTACACCTTCACTGGCCAATCGAGATAGGCGGTTTGAGATACATGCTTCTACCAGGGCTGCAGGAGGCTGCATCCCATAGCGAGACACCTAAGAACCGAGGTTACATTAGAAAACCAAATGTTCTTACTCCAAGCAAAGACTGGCTTAATCGAATCAACAATGCCGGTATGACTAAAAATTATAACAAAAATGACTAAATAATGATAACAAGTACGTACCTGTATGGTTTGGCTCTGATACACTTTAATGACATGGAAGTTAAAGCTGTATACTCCTTTTCTTGGGGACAGAAAAACTGATTCAAATGTGAAGTAGTTTCCTATATTCACAAGTACCTGTAAGAAGAACAACACACAGACACACACAAAACAGTGAGACAAAAGTGTTTATATATGCATTAGCTTAATGAGTGTCTTCATTTCAATGGGGAATTGGGATTAAATATTAAAATAGGAAGTTAGCTGTGCACAATTCATTCATCTGACTACCAGACTCTTCTCTGGATCAGACACAAACTTAGTGTGACACATTTCATAAGAACATTTCAGTCCACTTCTCAAAGGACTGCCAAAAATGTTAAAATTTTAACCAACCTGTTTTTATCAAAAGGTTATTTTTTTTATTTTTTGACAATTAAAATAATAACTCACTGTCAATCAGTGAGAGTGAGTCCAGTGTAACCAACTAAAGATAATTTCCTCTTCTTTACCTTCTTCTTTTATTTATAAAAGATTACACTGACATAGATGACTCTGAATGGAGTTGCATCTTTTTTTTAGTCCTTCACTAACACATGTAGAATAACTAAATGATAATTATGAACTTAATAAATTAATAAATTTACTTGATTTTGCATGCTAAAATTAATCTAACCTGAATATTTCAGTCAGCGTATTCTGCATAGCTCTTACTATAGTCTCAGGGTGTCACTAAAAAGGTTTTCAGCATACTGCAGTCACTTTTGGGAAAGAATGTAGAATAAAATGGAAAGTAAAATCTTATGGCATGTAATTGTTGAAGGAAACAGTACCTCTCATTGCTACCTGCAATGTCACACTCTTGAATTGCATAGCAACGGTATTTTCACCCCTCATGCCAGTCAGATAATTTGCAAAAGATCATTACAGTGTCATTCAAATCTAAGAACAGATGATCAATTGAGGACTGTAGTTTTAAAAAAGGCTGGTAAGGGGACACCCCACTCTGTCCACTGATGGATGACTAATCAGATTCTTACTCTTTGTGGTGGTGTTCGGTTTGTTTTGGGGGTCTCCTGGCTTAAAGGGAAGAGTGACTGAGCTGGCTTTGCAGACTGCCCGCCCTCTAACATGATGTAGTCACTTTCAGACCTACTTGAATGCGCACATGAACAGAATTCCACATGCCAACTGTATCCAACGTCAAACTAAGCTCTGGGGCGCAACGCCACTTTAGCTGCGATGAGATTTTAATGAGATGCCAGGTTAAACTGAGCCACAAGATGAAGGTTTTTTTTTCTTTTTCTTTCATACAAAAAATTCTAATGACAACACATTTACACGAGAAATATCAATTGTGACACCAACTGTGTATTTAACCACTTTTAAAATGAGTATTCAAGTATAAAAAAAACAAACAGTTTTAACCTGATCGAAGTAAATTATTCTCGTTTTGTTGCTCATCTCTGACGGTTCGTGGTTGTTGCTCCGGACAGCAGAGAAGGCCACCTTGGAGTTGGCTGCGCGCACGGAGATGCCGAGAGGAGAGGATGAAGCCCTCCAATCTGTGGCCGGGTTTGAGTCGCACACCACCAGGCATTTGCCCTCAAGAACGATCGGTTCCGTGTCGTTCTGAGCCCTGGCAACCCCGGAGACCACTGTCCAGCTGAGAATCAATATTAGTGAGTTCACCATGGCGCTCTCCTTTTTTTTTTGTTCAAGCCGTGGCAGCTTCGAGTCCAAAAAAAGAGAGACCGTCTCCTGTTCCGCGCAAGTTTCCGAGTGCCCGCACCGGTCTCCCCAGCCGCACACGCGTCTGACGCTGTAAAATGTTCTTATTGGTTCCACAGATGAGCCACATCCGAGAGAAACAACAGTGAGAAAGAATCCTTATTAGTCGAAATCTTCATTTGCGCACGCAAAAAGAAACATTGAAATCCGTCGGATTTATTTAAGATTGGTATAGACGCGCAAAAAAAAAAGTAGACCACCACCGTTTGACAGTGGAAGAAGGGGTAAACAGTCCATAAATCGTCCATAGCCTTTCACTCCCAATCCACATAAAGCTCCTGATAGCAGCCGTTCCCGCAGCGATGTGCTGCGTGTGCGTGCCCAAACATTCACTTTACGCACGCACGCGTGGCCAAAAAGATAATTACGTGCTTTAAACGAACTAAATCATTTTTTTTGTTTCATCAAAATATTTAATTCTGTTAACTAATCTGATTCATTGTACCACGCAAATTGTGCACTGTGTCGACGGTCAAAATTCATCCATGTAGTCGGGACAAAAAAATATTCCCAAATGTGTTATGTGGGGTTGTCCCAGTTTGAGAAACCCCTGTAGCTTAAATAGTTACATAACCGAGACTGCCCTCCAGCAAGTTTTCAGCCCAAGAATTCTCCTGTCCACATTTTTACTGGTGACTCATCACAATCTCCTTACTCAGGTGGGCTGAACACCTTTACCTGAATACCTCTTCCCCCTGTGAAAGGAAGACAAGAAGCTTCCCGAGGGAGAAATAATTCGATCTTACCATCAATTGCTGTTTTTTTGTTGTTTAATTTTATGTGACCAAGTGTAAAATAGAGTGTAAAGAGACTAGTAGTAAGATATTTGTATGTTTATTTACCGAAATATAAAAGCATAATGGTTTGTTGTTCTAAAATCTTATATAAAAATATAATATGTGGCAAAACAGTTAACTGATGGGCTGTATTTAAAACAGGACAAGTATACAATGGGCTGACTTGGAGTTGTGCAAATAGCAATAATAAATATACAGTTTGGGAAACACATAAAATCAATTTGGCATGGCCAAACAAAGCCCAAATAAAAACCAAACAAAACATGCAAAGGTGCCCCCAAGTCAATCCAATTTAACACAGTCCAAAGAGTCTATACAGGTCCAAACAACTAATGTACAGCCTAAACTTTAACCAAGGGAAAAAAACAGTGGATGGCGGCATCCAAATCATCACTAAAACATACAAACATTTTACATTCAGTATGCCAATGATTTTATTATTAAAATTACTATCTTAACCATTTAAAAGTTAAAAGTTAATAAACAAAATAACTCTCCTAGTTCTAGAGTCCAGCAGGTGATAGGACCTTTCATCAAGTTTGGACCTAAGAGGATGTGGTCATTATTGGCTGCACAGCTTTTGTGACAAACATATTGTATCTATTTACCTTCTTGTCTGTGCACCAAACCCAGATTTGGCTTAAAAGCTGGAGTGTAATGGCTGCCAGTTGCCCTCTGCACCCATGTGGAGTAACTGAGTGAAAGGCCCAGATTTGCCTCCCTCTGGGTTTTAAAAACTAAGCTCCGCCCCCCAACTTCCTACTTCCTGGTTCACCCTATCACATTTATTTCACTGGCACCCTTTTCCAGTGATGTTCTCATACGGGCTGACCCTAGAACATAGAACCTGCCCATAATGCCAGACCAGAAATCAACCAGTGGAAGAGCATTGAGCCAAGACATCTAACAGCTTGCCTAACACCTTTTTATGTCTTTATAAAGGACAGTTCTACAGGACAAAGCACTAAAACATAAGCTGAATGTTTTCTTCTCTGTGCATTTGATTTTTTTCCCCCATTCCTTTTTTGCATTTTGTTTTAGTATTTCATTGATTTGACTGTTTCCTTGGTCTGATTTGCATATTTGTGATTAACATTCACCAAGTAAAACCCTTGCCTTTTGGCAGATCATTGTCAAACTCATTTTTGTTTCATCTACGTGGCACCGCTATCTGGTTGTTTGTGAATCCTGTTGTGTGGATATCTCTTGTACAGCGCTCTTACCCTGCAGCACATTTGGTTTTGTCAGAAAGTGAATACATTTTTGTCATCCTTTATCATGCTTTGGTTGTAAGAGTTGTTATGACTGAGTTATTAGATAAAGCAGAAATACAGTGCAGTGCAATAGCCCATGCAGAGCCACTTGACATTGCTTTATTATTTGAATCTAAGGACTAGGTGTTTCTTGTAATCTTTCAAATATGTTTTGAGCAGTAGTTTTGAGACAGGATGGCTTTCTGCTTTCTAAGTCCAGTCCTTATCCTTGAACATTTTCCGAATACTTTTTGTTTGGTTTAGGTTCGCTTTGGTTTATTAAGTCACTTCACAGGAGCCATCTGCATAAATTGTATATAACAAGTGCTGAACCAAGTAATGCACATAAGACGACTGAGCTATATAAAACCTCTTTCAAACATTTATGTTTTTGTTTTGTATTGAACCAACAGTTTGTGTACCCAGACTGGGAATTTGTTCCAAAGGAAATGAGCATAACGAGATCAAGTTTTGCCTTAGATTATAGCCTTGAAAATTTAAGGAAAATATCTCTGTGCTCCAAAAAAAAAAAAAACAGTCTGCTCTTCATCAGTTTGGGGCCTGAAGTATAAATCTGTACATAATACCCGATCACACAAAGAAAGTCAGGGACTGACAAGATGCCATTATTGTAATTTCCATTACCAATACAACAACAATTTAGCTCAAGATATAAAAAAATAGATTAATCACAAGAGGTAATTTATTAAAAAATACTTTTGAACAAAGATAGCTAACCTAAAAAAAATATCCTCCAAACTGAAGTAAATTCAAATTTATTTAAAATAATGTTTTTAGAATCTGTGTAATGGGTGCTAATCCGAAGTTGTATGTCACCGATATGCTGGCTTCTGCTTCTGTGCTTAATTTAGTTAATGATTTTAACATAAACCATTTTTTTGTTGTTTTTTTTAAAGACAAAATGTATCTTCCGAGCGGATTGGAGATAACTTTTGGTGTAAAGGATCAACCGAAAAAAACATATTACAAATACAATTGTGATATATGCATCTTCTGCTTCTGATCCAATGAAAACAACAAAATATTAGATAATAATTCTATCATAATCTACATTTGTTACTGTCACAATAATAAATTAAGCTTCTGAGTGTGGAGACCAAAAAAACCCATGCACCCACATGGACGTCCACCATGAAGTTGACTGGCAGTTATGGCAGTCATTACAGAGACCACAGACTTGTGTTCAATATTGTTACTCAGTAAAAATGTAATTTAAGTTAAGCCTCATAACTTGAAGTGAAGCATGATTGTATTTGAATCTATTATTTTTCTTATTTCAACCAGATTCAAAATGTATTTTACTCCTCGCTTGCTTGACAGATCTTACATTGACAATTAAGTAATGCATATTACATTTAGTAAAGAAGAGAGCAGATCTCAAAATCCTTCACTCCATGTAACAATAAGCATTCAGGTCACATGGCCAAAGACTTTGGGGCTTAATTTGGTTGGCAATAGTAATATTGCAACACCCATAATTGTGCCACTTCCATCCATCCATCCATCCATAATCATTACCGTTTATTCTTTATTATATGAGACGCTCATCGCATTTTGAAACAATATTCTATCTTTTGGTGTTGTAGGGGTCATTGGGATCCTTAAGATGTGATGGACCCCGGCAATTTGGGTTTTATACGAGATGAACAAGATGTTAAATGCCGTGATAAATTCCTGGAGTAGTAAAATCAACCCTTTTAATCATGCATGTGACCAGCTTTGGCTGTCCCATTTTAAGTCATTACATTTGAAGGGAGTTTTCTTAGACATTTAGAAATGGAAAAAATGAAAGTGCAACAGCACAGCTTTAATGTAATAATAAATGTTTAAGCAAGTTTCCTAGGAAACAATGCCAGGAAACTAGTATTTTTATAAATCCCATAAAAATGTCATTAGAAAACATTATCTATGAGAATTTGAAACAAATCCTGATCAGAGATTATTCTCTTAAATATACAAGCTAGTGAGATGAGGTTTTTTTATGGGTTGAAAATGCAAGAGAAAAAGCTTATTTGGGGTAAAAAAAAAATTTTTTGGATAGACATCTATTAATCTCCACAGTTTAGAAATGGAGTGAGTCCACGATTGTCAGAGTTCAAAACTGCGTGCAGCAAATAAACGCAAGTGAGGAGGGATGCTATTTAAGAGTTGTACGATCTGGAAGAGGACGAGAGAGATAGAGACGACGGGTTCTCGTTCGTGTTGTATACTCTTCTGAAAAAACTCTCAAGGCTGAAAAATTGAGGACGTCTGACTCGTTCATCCCTCCATCCTTGAAAAATCCCAGGACATAATTGGTACTAAACGTTGGTTTGCATCACGGAGATTTGGAGAAACAAATGTTTAAAACATCATTCAATTTGAGTGTCTTGAAGTTACACAAGTTAGTCTTCAATTACTTATTATGAAATCTATCTAAATGTCCATGTAAGTGATTTAATCTGGCTGGGACTAGCTGCATAATGTGTCTGAAAGTGTGGATGTCTGTGTGGGAAACGTGATCAGAAAGACACTTGTCTAGGGACTGTTTCCTATTTTGCTTAGGACTGGGCTAACAAACAAGGGGGGCACCAGTGGCAAATAAACTATTATGTCATAAACTGATGTTTTAAATTTTTTTTTTTAGTAATGGTTGGAGTTATAGATGTTCAACAAAAACACCAGCATGACACATCAGTTTGTGTTCTTTAATAAAGTTGTGCTTATGTGTTTTTACCAAATTCCAAGCAGCTCCTGTTTAAGTGATTTTCATCCTTTCAACAGTATTGCAAGGAAGCAGGAAATAAAAAAATGTGATTACACGTGACGCATTGTTTGGTCAGAGCAGCGGGCGCCTTGATCTGGGAGCATCTTCCAGCCTCTGGGCACAGACTGACGGGAGGCTGTTCGAGCAGTTTGCATCATCCCAGAGTTTACTCTTTGAAAACGGAAAGAAATGCAGAGGTCAGCCACTGTTACAAAACATGGAAAATAAAATCCTGACAGCTTTACAGACTAAACCTGGGCATATATACTGGTAGATGGCATATATACTGCATATATACAGGTAGATAAGCATTACATGACACCATTACTGGAGAGGGGATTTGCCACCTGACTACAGCAAACTCTGAGAACAAATGTGTGTGACCCTCACAGTGGTAAACATCCAAATAAAAGAAGAATTAAGTATCTTTATTTTACTTCCGAGGAAGGATAAGGCTCTGCATGGCATGTGACATCACAAAAAATGTGACTGAT